CCAGCCGGGCCTTTGCAGCCTGCAGGGACCAGCACAGCATCCTGAGTGCCCAGCCCTAGCATGCACCTTCCCCTCCTGGCCCAGCCTGCTGTCCCCAGTGCTCCCTCAGACCCATGCCCATGGTGGCAGCTGAGCCCAAAGCAGCTATATGGGATCCTGCCTGGCCATTTAGCAGGAAAATAACATCCAAGTCCCCAGCCTCCTCTTCTCCTCACCTTTGGCTTCTTTTCCAGGTCAGCTTCTGTCTTTGGTCCCAGCAAATGCAGCACCTGGAGAAGTGAGACACCGTCAGGAGTCAAAAAGGCTCCCTGTGCTCCAAGGTCTGGAAATGTCCTGTCCAGCTGCCACCCCCCTCACCCTGCCTGCACCTACCCAGGGCAGGCTTCCCCAGCGCTGGGCCCTCCAGGGAACAGGCTGGTGGGTCCCACACCAGTCACAGCACCTCCAGCACCCCCAGGGGACCTCAAGCAGCACCTGACCTGTTGCCCTTGCACCCACCTGCAGATCCACCTCGTTCTTGATGGTCTTCCCATCCGCCCACCGCAGCCGGTTCCGTGCCTCCCCTGTGGACAGGGCACCCCGTGGGCAAGGGGCATGGCCCAGCCTGGGGGAGCTTCAGCCAGAGCCGCTGATGCAGAACAGCACAGCCAATGGCCAGAGGCAGCCTTTGCCCCTAGGCTGTCCCTATCACAGTGCACCACGGCCCTGCCCGAGTGGGGGATGTGGCAGGACATCTTCCTGCTGGGCTGCAGCACAGCAACAGAGCAACTGGGGCAGCCCGTGGCAAAGGGCTGGCTCACAGGATCCAGGGGAGCAGGCAGTGGCACTGGCAGGCAGGCATGGGGACGTGGCAGCCACCAGTACCAGGCAGGTGCTGCCCTAGTGTTCCCACTCACCCATCAGCAGCCCCATGTTGAAGTGGTAGCGCTCTGCCAGCAGCTCCGCTCGGTGCTCACTGATTACAGCCTCCACCTGGGAGCAGGATGAGGACACCAGGATGAGCGAGCTAGGCAGGAGTACAGCACTAGGAGCCAGTCCAGTGTCCCCTGCACTGTCTCCGCGGGGTCACAGCTCCACTCACCGCCTCCTCGATCTGCTCGGGCGTGATGCAGACCCCCACGCCACAGGCTTGCTCAAAGTCCGCTGCATCCAGGGGCTCCAGGGGGTGGCTCCTCACGTACTCCAGAGCGGCTGGGGA